CTTATAGTGCCTATAAAATTATGAAAATATGAACTAATCTATTGTAAGAAGAGGTAAATCAATGGCTGTATGGAGGGTAGAGAATTCAAAAGATTTTAAAAGGGCAAGAGGTAATTACAGGGTGTGCAAAACTAGGATTAGAGTTGTTAGTATTGAAAATAATACAACGGATAGTAAATAATAATAAAAGTATAAACTCTCATGGCTACTGTGTCTTATATTATTGCGCATGATCACGTTCACTAAAAGGTCATTGGTTTGATTCCAGATGAAGACACATGTCCACCTGTATCTGCAGTAGTGGATGTGCAGGAGGCAGGTTTATTTCTCTCCCTCTGCCATTCTGTCTAAAAATCATTAATAAATTGTATTAAATATATAAAACTAGAGGCCCAGTGAACGAAATTCATGCATGCGTAGGGTCCCTAAGCCTGGCCAGTGATCAGGGCTGATTGGGGCCTTCTGGCTGCCAGCCGGGGCATTCTTTCCCCAGCTGCTGGCCAGGGCCTTTCTTCCCTTGCTGCAGGCTGCCAGCCATGGCCTTCCTTCATTCTGTGATGCGCCCTTGTGGTCAGGGCATGTCATAGAAAGTGATCGAACTCCTGGTCTCTTTATCAAACACCCTAGGGCAGGGGTCAGGAAACCGCGGCTCAGCAAACCACAGCTCACAGGCCACATGTGGCTCTTTGGCCCCTTCAGTGTGGCTCTTCCACCAAATACCGGCTCTTCCACAAAATACCGACTTCTGCACATGGGCCACGAAGTTTCAGTTGCACTGTACATGCGTGCCCACACGTGGTATTTTGTGGAAGAGCCACACTGAAGGGACCAAAGAGCCGCATGTGGCTCGCGAGCCGCTGTTTGCCGACCACGGCCCTAGGGGACAGTGCATATTAGCCTTTTATATATACTGTATAAAGGCTCTGTACACAAAATTCATGCATGGGTAGGTGTCCCACAGCACAGCCTGTACCCTCTCCAATCTGGGACCCCTCAGTGGATGTCTGACTCCTGGTTTAGGCCAGACCGGCAGTCAGAAATCCCTCTCACAATCCAGGACTGCTGGCTACTAACCAATCACCTGCCTGCCTGTTCATCCCTAACTGCCTCTGCCTGCCGGCCTGATGGCCCCCAACTGACCTCCCCTGCTGGCCTGATTGCCCCCTAACTGCTTTGCTCCTCAGTGCCGGCCTGATCGTGCCCCTAATTGCTTGCTCCCCCATGTCAGCTTGAACTCACCCCTAATTGCTTGCTCCCCCACACAGGCCTGAACTCGCCCCTAACTGCTTGCTCCCCCATGTCAGCCTGATCTCACCCATAACTGCTTGCTCCCCTTCAAGCCTGAACGCCCCTAACCACCTCTGCCTTGGCTGCTACCACCATGGCTTTGTCTGGAAGGAAGCCAGATGTCCAGAATGTGTCTGGTTGATCCGGTCTAATTAGCACATTACCCTTTTATTAGTATAGATAGTTATCTAAAATAAGAAAATAAATTCTATGTTTTGCATACTCACAACTGTAAGCACACTTTTGCCCCACCATGGGTATGGGTAACAGAGAAGCATATTTTACATGTGACTGTTTCTGAGCTTTATCTATCTGGTCAACCTCACCAAATAGAATACATTAGAAAAGTGCTTTTCATTGCATGTCAGTTATACATATACCTAAGTAAAGCCTCAAAATGTGGTTCCAAATAAAAACACAGAGATTCCTCTGTTGTTAGAAAATTAAAATGGCAACTCTATATAGACATGACCATCTCTCTCATTTCTTGAATAATTCTTGCTTCAGCGGCAGCAAATATTGTCAAGAAGTGAAGACTACTGCCATCAGAATGTCACAAAACACACAACCTGGGACTAATTACACGATGATCCTCCCTCTAGCTTTGAGTTCTTGCCTGTTGTGATAGATAACCTTGAAGTGAACACCATAGCGGGGCCCAGAGAATCCCGAAAACCATTGGATTCTTTTCACTACTAATCACTTCACCTACACAAAGAACAAACAAGCCTCAGGACAGGGTTATTTGTGGATAATGTTCAAAAGAAGCAATTTCCATCCAATATACTGCCATCTCTTCCACTCACTATATGAAAACAGTCTTTGTCCTAATATTAGTTGCACTTCACAGTGTTACAACAAATGAAAACAGCCTATGAAATTTCACACATCATGGATCAGGGCTCCTTTGCAGTATGTAAGACACACTATGAACAGAGAATATAATTCATATTGTTCACAGAAGCACAACAAAGGACTCTTTTTCTGGATGATCATTGACCTCACCAATAATACAGGCACCAGGCTAAAAAATTAGAACCAAAAAGTCATGCAAATTTTCCTTAAAGGGCTTGGTCAGCAATACAAAATAAACCAATAATGGCCAAAGAGTGATTTTTTGTCATTATTATGTGCCTTCCAAAGCACAGAAACTTTGGAAACCCAACTGTTCACCATATCTGTTCACCTCTGAGTGTGACAGATCACAACTATGCTTTCAAATCATTCCAGGCAATGAATATAACCCACACAATTAAAGGTACAGAAGCAAAATACACTTTTACTAACAGATCATAAACCAGAACAGAGGACAAAAAGGAGTTTGTAGGTTGGTGAATTAGAACCTAAAACAACTCCTCAGAGGATAATGTGAGAACAATGATAGAAGCACAAAAAATGACTCCTCTTCTAAGGGACCACTGACCTCACCAATATTAGAGGCACCAGGCTGCAAATTGGAACCACAAAGTTATGCAAACTTTCTTTCATTGCCTTGCTCAGTGGTATAAAATAAGCCATTATTGGACAAAGAGTGATTTTTCTGACATTATTACAGTATATGCTTTCCAAAGCACAGAAAATGTGGGGGACCTCCCCATATCTGTTCATCTCGCCATGATGATAGATCACAACTTTTGTATCAAATCATCCAGAGAGTGAAATTAAAAAAAAAAAAAAGCTATGAAAGAAAAAACATCTTTACTAAAGATCATAAACCAGAACAGAAGACAGTAAGCAATTTGCAGGCTGGTGAATTAGAAAGTAAAACAATTCATAAAAACATAATGTGATACCCCTAATGACCCTGAAAGTGGTAGCATTCCTTATCTGAGGATGGGTGCTCTGGACAAACCTGGGTCAGAAGCATTCCCTAGTCCGAGAGAAAGGAATGAAGATCCTGTCAAGAGCTTGAAGTAATTATAATTTTCTCAAGCACAAGAGAGAACACAGAATACATTTCCTGAGAGCACACAGGGTTTGTGACTGATGCACGCTCTTCAGGTGAGCCAGGTGGTAGAGGTGAAATATCTTCTGCCACAAATGCTCGCTGTGACATCAACTGGGTAGTAGGTCTGGGCATGTTAGCAAGTACAAATGCAGCTCCTTCAAGCCTCACTTGCACCTGAAACTTATGAGGAATATATCAAAGTACATGTTCCATTAAAAGGGATTTAAATTCAGAAAAACAGGTCCCAAAGGGTCACCTTAAGTGTTCTTATACTCAGAAAAAGAAAGCATTCCCTGCACATTTAACACTTCTTTCCAATGTGATCTCTCAGGTGTCTAGTAATGCTAGATTTGTGACTAAAAGACTTCCCAAATTCAGTACACTCAATACGGCTTCTCTCCAGTGTGAACTCTGAGGTGTACAGTGAGGTGAGACCATACACGAAAGGACATCCCACATTCTCTACACTTATAGGGCTTTTCTCCAGTGTGAACTCTCTGGTATTATTTGAGGTTATACTTATTACTGTAGGATTTTCCACAATCACAGCACTCATATCGCTTGCCGCCACTGTGAACTGTCAGGTGCTTAGTAAGGCTGGATTTTTGGCTAAAAGACTTCCCACATTCAGTACATTTATATGGCTTCTTTCCAGTATGAACTCTCTGGTGTTGTTTGAGGTAAGACTTATCACTGAAGGATTTTCCACAATCACAGCACTCATATCACTTGTCGCCACAGTGAACTCTCAGGTGCTTAGAAAGGCTGGATTTTTGGCTAAAAGACTTCCCACGTTCAGTACACTCATATGGCTTCTCTCCAGTGTGAACCCTGAGGTGTGCAGTGAGGTGAGACCTTAGATGAAAGGTCATCCCACATTCTTTACACTTATAGGGCTTTTCTCCAGTGTGAACTCTCTGGTGGTGTTTGAGGGTAGACTCAGCACTGAAGGACTTTCCACAATCACAGCACTCATATGGCTTGTTGCCACTGTGAGCTCTCAGGTGTCTATTAAGGTTAGATTTCAGGCTAAAAGACTTCCCACATTCAGTACACTCATATATCTTCTCTCCAGTGTGAACTCTGAGGTGTTCAGTGAGTTGAGCCCTTCGATTGAAGGACTTCCCACATTCTCTACACTCCTACAGCTTTTCTCCAGTGCGAACTCTCTTATGTCAAATGAGGTTAAAGATTTGTCTAAAAACTTTCATACATTTGTTACACTCATAAATCAGTTCTCCAGAACAGACACTGTGACACTGAACAACTTTCAGGTTGTGGCTGGCAGCATCTTTACATTCAACCCAATGGTGATGACTTTTTCCATCAAGAAATTCCTGTGAAATCTCACTGCCAAAGGGTAGCTCCTCAGTGTTGAGAGTGGCCTGGTGCTGGAGAAGCTCTGAGTTGTATTGCAAGAATTCCCCAACCTCCCTGCTGGCTGAAGGCACTGAAGATAAGTAGAAGCTGGACCTACTCACAAAGAAAGCCCTGTCCATAGTTTCTTTCCAAGGCTCGTCTCCACATTCATTTCTCTGTTGCTCATGAGGGTTTGCACTGAAACAGAAGTCTCCAACACATGTGTCACTACAGAAGGCTTTCTGCTCAAAATATGCTGCATGTGAACCCACATATTTTAACCTTTTAACACAGAGAATCATCGCTTACACAGAGGGATCTTCTGGGTGGCTGGAGCTGTCTTAGAAGCCCTGACCTGTGACTCTCCTTGTATAGATAAAGAACAGGCCTCATCACTATTGATTTTATGCCAACAACCTGAAAAGTGAGAACGGGTAAGGAAATGAATGTTGAATGTGGTGACAGGGGGAAGCCCCATTACAAAAGTGTGTTACACATCACACGCTAGTTCCATGCAATTCTATGAAAATAAGAGATGTGCAGGAAGGATTAATAAGAGGCTCTTGTCACTTTCTGGGCTAATGAAGATCACAACACAGGGAAGCCTCACCAAAAATATGACATAAGCCAAGACCAGTTTGGCTCAGTGGACAGAGCATCGGCCTGCGGACTGAAGGGTCCCAGGTTCGATTCCGGTCAAGGGCATGTACCTTGGTTGTAGGCACATCCCCAGTGGGAGGTGGGCAGGAGGCAGCTGGTCGATGTTTCTCTCTCATCGATGTTTCTGACTCTCTATCTCTCTCCCTTCCTCTGTAAAAAATCAATAAAAATAAAAAAAATGACACAAACATGGCAAGCACCACATGGATTTCCAACTAATACTTCAAGTTACCACATTCAGCATGGATTGTCTGCTGGGGATGGGGACAAGCTGTGCAAGAGATTGGTTAGGTCTTACTACAAGTAAAATTCAATAAAGGAGTAGCCGGTTTCGAGGACTAATTAGCACATATGTGCACCTCATAATGCATGTGCAAGTCAATGTTGCAGAATACTGCAGAGGCACCAGTGTAGAGGAACAGGTAACAAAGAGGTGAGCAGTCAGCACTGGTCCAGAGCAACACAGCTTGCTACAGTATTCAGGGAAGAGAATATAAGAAACAATTGATGGAAGGTCTCACAAGAACAGCCTATTGTTCATGTAAGTAAATACCATAACATGGAACAGTTCACCACAAAGAACCTTTATCTAGAGAAAGATGGCAGAAGTTGAAGCCATGCAGTGAGATTTCACAGGAATTTCTTGATGGAAAAAGTCATCACCATTGGGTTGAATGTAAAGATGCTGCCAGCCACAACCTGAAAGTTGTTCAGTGTCACAGTGTCTGTTCTGGAGAACTGATTTATGAGTGTAACAAATGTATGAAAGTTTTTAGACAAATCTTTAACCTCATTTGACATGAAGAGAAAGTGCAAGCTGGGACCCATTAAGCTCACTGCAAGACTCCTGACTTTCTGTTTCCTGTACATTTTGAGGTAACAGGTGTTAGCGGGATGTTCGTGGAGTTCTTTGCTCAGGACTCACCATCCAGCTCATCCCTGGAAGCCACAGCACATTTGACAGACAGTGAGGAAAATTAGCAGAGGCCATGTTCTTGCTGTGGGAGAGAGAAAGCTATGCCTGAGGAATAAAAGAAGAGAGGTCATCACCTCAGGACACTGGGAGAACATCAAGGTCTTACCTACAGATGACACAAGTGCAAACACTTCCAGCATCACATCCCAGTACAGAAGTCTCTGAGCCTCATCAAGGAGCCCCCATTCCTCCTGAGAGAATACAATGGCCACGTCCTCAAAGTTCATATCCTGTCATAATGGGGACAGTAGAGCCCATGATCAGCTTCACTCCTAAGATTCCAAATCTGTCATACTCCCCACCCTCCACACCCATCTGCTCTGTCCACTCCAGAGAAAATACCAGGCCTTCATCCCATGAAAGCCACTGTTTTCTTATATTTATACTGACATTTTGTCTTCCTACTCTAATAAAGGCCTTTGAGCAGATAAGACACCTGAGCTCTGGACCTCCCCTGTATGCCACGCTGACTTTTATCAACAGAGTGGTTGTTAAAACTATAGATGAAACAGAGATGCTGGCCATAAAGATACTGTGAGTGATCTGATACTCGTCTTGTCAGTCAATACCCTCAGATTGTGTCTCAAAGACGCCAAATACATGGCATCACACTGCACCCTCTGACCCCAATTGCAAGGTGCCATGGCCATAGCTTTGCACTACCTGTTGCACAGAGTTCTTTGAACAACACTTCTCTCACACAGCTTCATTCCCAGAAGCACAACCGCAAAGGTAATGCAAATTTGTTGTGTTGAGGACAAATTGTTTCCTAATCACCTTTTTTTCCCAAAATTATAGTTCACCATCTCCATAATCTCTTACCCCTTACCCTTCTCCCTTACCCATTCCAGTGGAGATTTTGAAGCCTGGGTAACACTGACGTATGCTATGTCACTCCTATTATCCAGGGTGTCATCCCCAACAACAAAAGGCAGGTGGTTAGGTAAATGGCATCTAAGCGCTGTACCTTGAATGTAGTGCCAAAACAACCCTGTTTACAGGCAATTACCCTAAAATTCACCTTACTGGATCATCCAGACACCACCAAAAATGGGCTTTCCAGTCATTCACTCTGATGTCAGTATCAGGGTGCTGTTTCCATCAATTCACATTCCCTCTTCAAGAGCACATCACTCTTTACCATACCTCTCTCACACCTGCACTCCCTTAGCCCCAGCCCCCATAGTCCTCTCCTTAACGTCTTATTAATTATCAAGTTTTGTCCAGAGAATGCTTGCTAACATCTCTCACTTAACCACCACTCAAGTCCCAGCCCTGATGGCCCTGTTCCATGCCTAGTGAGCCTCACAGATGACCACTCAAGCCTCTAAGTAATCCACAAGACTGACTGTAACTCCTCACATACAGGCCACTCCAAGGGTCACAACAAAATCCTGGTGAGTATGTAGAGATGTTAATATGTACCATCCCTAGTCTAATCTTGTTTGAATAACTCTTCAGCCTCCAAATTAATCTTAGGTCCATTCCTCTTTTAAAGGTCTTGGGCACTGCAAAACCATGATCTCTCCCTGACACTAGACAGGACAACTTCTGTCCCTGTGCTGTGTTATGACCCACAAATACTGGTCAGAGCAGGAAAGCTAGTCCTCAGGCTCACACTGTCCCTTCTGAGTTACTACTACCATTACCAACCTGACCATGATTCCCTGTATGAAAGTGATCTACAGTCCTGGCTGATGTGTCTCAGTTGGTTGAGTATAGACCCATGCACTGGTGAGGTCACATGCCTGGGCTATGGGCTGGATCCAAAATAGGGGTTATGCAGGTGGAAAGTGATCATTGTTTCGTGCTCATCACTGTTTCTCGGTCTCTCTCCCTCTCCCTTCCTTTCTATATCTAAAATCAATACACGTATACATACTGAGTGGCCAGATTATTATGACCACCTGACGTTTGTAGGCAAATTAGCTATAATTTCACGCTAAAGTTGCTAGATGGCCAGACCATTATAAATAGGGAAACAGATTGTTTACCACGACAGAAGTGATTTTTTTCTAAAGGTATGGGTAAAAAACGCGATTTAACAGCCTTTGAACGTGGGGATGATTGTTGGCACTCGGAGCCATGGGGCAAGTATCAGCAAAACAGCTGAATTCATTACATCTTCCGGAAGCTGTTGTTAAAGTGTTTAAAGACTGGACTGTCAGCCATAGCCGGTTTGGCTCAGTGAATAGAGCGTCGGCCTGCGGACTGAAGGGTCCCAGGTTCGATTCCGGTCAAGGGTATGTACCTTGGTTGTGGGCACATCCCCAGTAGGGGATATGCAGGAGGCGGCTGATCAATGTTTCTCTCTCATTGATGTTTCTAACTCTCTACCCTCTTCCTTCCTCTCTGTAATATATTATACTCTCATAATATATTTTTTAAATATATTTAAAAAAAAAAAGACTGGACTGTCAGCTGAAAATCTGGGTCTGAACATGCAAATTGTGGCCGTCAGTGACTAGGCAATGTTAAGGCAGAACAGAGAGTGGCAAGACTGGCAAAAGACAACAGAAGGGAAACAGTGCATTAAATTACTGCAGATCTTAGTCGGGGATACTCTCAAATGATCTCTGAACGCACAATAATAATCTGGCCACTCAGTGTGTGTGTGTCTGTGTGTGTGTATTTGTAGTATATGTACACTGAGTGGCCAGATTATTATGATCTCTGAACACTTTGGCCACTCAGTATATATATATTTAAAAAACATACCTGTGGGTTCCTAAATCAGCACACTCTTCACTCCAAGTTTCGGCACATTCTGGAACCTATGCCCTGGCAGTCCTCCCACTTATTACACTGGCTGCTAAAAACAAGGTCCACGTCAGGAAGCCCTACTCTTGGCCTTAGGAGTCTGGGCTTAGTGTCGGTTCAAAGTTCCCAGGTCCAAGGGCTACAAGAGTGGCTGACAGTCCCAGGACACCACTATCTCAGAGGCCACAAGGGTATGAGGCTCTGAAATAAGTTCCACAAACCTTGTACACCTAATTGATTCAGCATTTGCAGGAATTTGTGGAAAGGAAATGGTCTGTTGAAAGCCTGGCAAAACACCGCCAGGATCTAGAGGTTAAGGCTGCTCTATACCCTTGCCCATCCCAAAGGCCAGGTGACTTTCAGAAGCCTGTTTTATTTCAGGGCTCAGTCCTCAGTGCTCCCTCTTGCCACTTACCTTATCATTTACAGGACTTCTCCTTCCTGTCCACAACTGCTGTCCTCTGTCTTCTAGTCTGTCCTTCCTCTAAGCAATGATAGTCAAAGTTAGCACCCTAATTCAGAAAATGTTCCCCCCTGTTTTTCACAACCATCTATTGTTAAGTCTGATCAAATAATTGAATAGATAACCCCTCCCCTGGGAACTTACCTTTATGCCATTTCACAATGGACATTCTACTGGCTTGGACCACATTCCACTTGCTAACACTGTTATCTCTCCCCTCCAGCATTTCCCAGAATGCAGACCTACACAGAGAATTCTCTGACCAGGAATAGCCCACCTTAGAGTCCTTTAAAAATCTGACTCCCCATCTTTGGGCGCTGGTGCCATTTTGGGGTTCAGCACATCTGATACCCTGGTGACCTAATAAATTCATAATTCTTCACCCTTTCTGGCCTTGTGCGTTCCTCCTTCGGTGACCCTAACATTTGATAGCAAAACAGGGGAGGGTTCTATGGGGATGGGGAACCATCGCTCTGGCTTCAGTCACCCAAAGGTTGCTACTCGGAGGGCAGTAGACAGTGGCACCTCAACCTAGGCTTACCTCCAAATTCTATTGGGGTAACTCGATTACAGGCCTCAATTAGACCTCCCTCCCTTATCAACCATCCTGAACCAGCCAATGACTATGCCAGATCGGGAACCTCTCCTTCTCCATTGCTGACCCTCCATCCCACACCAACCAATCTTCTCTAGGTGAGTGACGATCCACAAATTCACTCATGTCAAGTCTTCTGCCCACTCTCTCAAACTGACTTCTCGAAAGTCTCTCATCTTAAAAGTCCTAGCGCTAGGCCAGAAGGAAGACTCCTCAGCCATGTAGCTTTGGGTCTTTCTGGAGTGGGGGCGCCAAGTTCAGAAGGTCATCTCTCATTTCCCATGGTGATTTGTTTAGCTGCGGGGATGAGTGCCCTAGTCATCTTTGGGTATGTGGTCTGTCACTCACCCTTCCTCTCTCATGGACCACACTAAGGAAAAATGTGGCAGTTTTAAATCCAAGCGCCTGGATGCCTGGGGACAGGCTGCAGGGCCTGCTCTCTCCTCCCCTTGTCTTTTCTCCAGCATCATGTGCCTACACATACTTTTGCAGAGTCTTTGGTAGCTTAAAGGCTTTGGAGCATTGCTGGGTTAAATGATAAACATCTAAATACTTTAAAACAGGATAAAATAATGAAACATTGATTGCTAGACATGTTTTTAATTTGCCTGCTCTTCGTTTTTATTACCCATGGTCTCTTGTACTTTGAGGAAGGCATATTAAAGTAAGAGTGTGTTTAAAGTGTGTTCATAAATGTAAATGCTCTTTGTTTACTTTCTGGCTAAAGCTGGTTATTTGTGAATGGGTAGGATTGTCTTGACCAGTGAGTCAAGACCTGATCACCCCTGATGTTCCAGAGGAACCCCTTCTCTCCTAGTAAGCTAAAGCAGCCCCTCCCAGATTCTCTCCTGTTGCTTACATCCTTAAGTTGAAGCCTACACTTTATTTCCAGCGCTCATTAACAGTTCTTGTCACTACCATTGAAAGCCTCACAGGTATTCCTGCTTGATATTTGGGAACATCTCTCCCCTTTTCTAGCCTTCTTAAACATCAAATCCCTGGACAAGACTGGCAAATTGACTTCATTCACATGCCTCCTATTAAACACACACACACACACACACACACACACACACACACACACACACATACACACACACACACACACTGCAAAGGACACAAAGTAGGGAAAGATTCCATAATACAGGAAAATAACAGAGCAGACAGGAGGCCAAGACAGTGGCTCAGAAGCCTCTGTCTCCCCAACTCTTAGCTATACCCCATGTAACACCCAAATACCCTCCAGAGGAACTTCAGTCCCTAGTAGCTCTTGGGGCTATGCAGGAAGATCCATGGTTAAAATTGTCGGGGAAAATATATCCTGCCCCAGGGACAGGCCCGTGATAGCTTACAGGCTATTAAAAGTGTCCTATGTATAGGATACATTTACAACTCCTACAACCCCTCATCACATGTCCTAGCCTAGCCTTCCTACTGCAAGATGTCACCAAAACCTGTTCTACTTGTTACTCAGTATCTTCCCAAGCACAGGTTAGACTTCCTTCTTTCCCCACTCATCAGGCAAGGGGGCAAATCCCTGGACAAGTCTGGCAAATTGACTTCACTCACATGCTTCCTATTTTTAAAAAAGGAAAGAACAAATATCTCTTAACCCTTGTAGATACCTTCTCAGGCTGGGTAGAAGCATTCCCCATTGAGTCTGAAAAGTCCACAGAGGTCACACAAGCTCCCTTTCAGCACATCATTCCCAGATCCAATCTCCCCACCTCATTACAAGCAGATAATGGACCTGCTTTCATATAACAAATAACTCAACAGGTCTCCTCCACTCTGAATATCCTGTGGAATTTACACCCCCACCAGCTCCAATCTTCAGGAAAGGTAGAAAAGAGAAATTCCTTCGTTAAGTCCCACCTAATTAAATTAACTCTCAAAACTAAGGAACCTTAAACTGATCTCCTACTGCTAGGCTTTATGCACAACAGAGCAATTCCCCCACCATGCACCCTCCTTTCTTAGTCCCTTTGAATTCATGTATGGAAGATTCTTCTTATTAGGAAACTTGCCTTCCACAGAAACCCTCTAGGAGTCTATGTCCCTATTTTAAATCTATTCCAACAATTACTGAGAGAACATGCTAATCAAGCCCTCCTCCACCTTCTAAGGGAGACATCCCGCTAAGCCTCTACAGCCAGGGGACTGGGTCCTCACTGTGGTCGGCAAACTGTGGCTCGAGAGCCACTTGCGGTTTTTGGGCCCTTGAGTGTGGCTCTTCCTAAGCCTTAGGAGTACCCTATTTAAGTTAATAACAATGTACCTACCTATCTAGTTTAAGTTTAAAAAATTTGGCTCTCAAAATAAATTTCAATCATTGTACTGCTGATATTTGGCTCTGTTGACTAATGAGTTTGCCGACCTAAAGGAAACCCACCCATCAAATAATTTACAGGCCCGATGGCAAGGCCCTTAGCAGGTACTCCTAACCACCCCACTGCATCTAAACTATCAGAGCAAACCCCGTGGTTCCACCTTTCCAGATTAAAACCCATCCCCGGAACACCTCCATCACGTGAGCTGGAGTCCCCTAACAATTACAGCCACCAGATTGGGCCCACAAGACTGCCTTACCCTCATCAATGGCTCACCCAATGCAGATGTAGCCACCAATAATCAGTGTTTACCTGTCCCCATAACCCACCATATCTGACACAAATGCGCAGTTCAGATAATCCCTCCCCCATAACCCTGGGCATCACAGGAGAGGTTGGAACTGGCACAGGGGGCCTAACCACTGCTCTATCCTATTTTTTAATCCTGTCTCAGGACCTACAAGAAAGCTCCAGATGCCAGCAAGGGGCAAAACTGGGAAACAAGAACCTCGCCCCCAGGGTAACCTCCCCTCCCCTAGCAAATAACTAGTCAGGCAACTAAGACCCCTGACCTTTTCCTCCCTAAAGATCACATCTAGGCCTCAGTTGCATTTCAGCTCCAGGCCCAGAAAAGCAGCAAAACGAGACAAGTGAGGCTGTGGCAGCCTCGGGACCAGCTTCTGCCTCCCAAGTCCCTCAACAGGACCGTTTTCGAGCCTTCCAGGTGGCCTAATAAATCCATAATTCTTCTCCCCTTTTGGCCCTTGTGTTCCTCCTTCCGCGAACCTAATATCTATGGCCCCAGCGTCCTGAGAGTGAAAGTAAAACTCCTCCTGCAAAACCTCACCTCATCTCCTTGTTGCCTTTACACCAACAGGCCCGGGTTCCCGAGTCCTCCTGCTCAGTCGCACCATCACGTCCTTACAAGGCGGCACTGCAGCCTTTCACCCTCTTCCCCCATCAGCCATGTGTCACCCACGAGGGACTCACCATTCTGAGCGCTGGGACCTGGGCGGCGGAACCTGAGGGGCCGGTCCCCAAGGCTGGAGGGTGAAATGGGGTCAGGCTGCGGGGACGCTGTGAGCAGAGAGGAGTCCGGGAGGCACGGGGATCCCAATCTCGGGCTGTTGGGCTCAAGGAGCCTCAGACACACCCCGCACAGCAGGCGCGCTGCCTCCCAGGCCGCCTCCTACTCACGACCAGCGCCCTGAAGCCTGTAAATCTGTGAACAAAGACCTAAAAAGTTAAAATGACCGACGGGAAAGGAAGGCGGAAGTCCCGCCCTAACTAGATGCGCGGGCAAGGAAATGCCCTTTAACCCCGCCCACATGCGTGCAGTGCCGTCTGGGAAATGTAGTTTTTTCAACAGCTCAGTGTAGTACTAGCATCTCAGCCTATGAATTATATGAATAAAGGTGGTGTGGCCCAGCAAGTGACGCCTGGGGAGGGACTAGATGGGACCAGAGGCCTGGCTAACTGGAGCCGATTAACAGATCTCTGAGGAGAAGAAGGTGGGAGGAATGCAAGAGATCCACCAAAGAATATACACAGAGGGGGAAATGGGAGACATCGATAATATATCAACAATAAAAAAATATATGTATTTTCGTAAATTTTAAAATAATGCAGCCCAGGTGGTGTAGCTCCGTGGTTGAGCCTTGACCTGTGAACCAGGTCACGGTTCTTTTTATTTTATTTTTATATTTTAAAATTATTTATTTTTATAGTATTACATGTATTATTACATATAACCCCCTTTTCACCCATTAAGCTCTGCCCAGCCACCCTTACCCCTCAGCACATGCCCTTAGCCCCAAAGTGTCTGTGTCCATTGTTATGCTTATATGAATGCATGTAAGTCCTTTGCTTTATCCCTTAACCCCCCTCACTCTCTTAAATTCCCTCTGAAGTTTGACAGTCCGTTCGATGATTCTATGACTCTGAATGTATTTTTGTTCATAAATTTATGCTGTTCATTATAATCCACAAATAATGAGGTCATGTGACACTGGTTCTTTTCCTGGTCAGGGCACATACATGGGTTGCAGGATCAATTTCCAATGTGGGGGTGGAGTCATGCACAAGGCAACCAATCAGAAATTCTCTCATCATTGATGCTTTTATCTCTCCCTCTCCCTTCCACTCTCTAAAATCAGCAAAAACATTTTTAAACCAAGTATATACATATATACATAGGCCATGGACATATGCAGTAATGTGGTGAGGGACTAGAAGCAGTGGGGGCAGGGTAGAGGGAGTAAAGGGGGGAGGAGTATGGGGGAAAATTGAGAACATCTATAATAGCGTCAACAATAAAAAATAATAGTGTGCACAGCGGTGAGGCTCAGTGGTTGGGCGTGTACCCATCAACCAACATATCATTGGTTGGATTCCAGATCAAGGCACATACCCAGGTTGGGGGTTCCATCCCAGTAGGGGGAATGCTGGAGGCACTGGTCAATGATTCTCTCTCATCATTGATGTTTCTTCAATTCCCTTTCTCTTTAAAAAATCAATCAAGACATTTTAAAAATGAACAGTGTTAAGATTGATTTGACTCAACAACAACAAAGTGATTGTGGGCCATCATGTTTTCTTCCAAGTCCTGTAAGCAAAATCAAGCCTTGTTCTGTCTTTATACAGGATGTCCCAGGCATAACTTTTTGGGCACAGGATCCAGCCTGGAGTTGGTCTGCCTCAGCTTGGCCTCTAATGTTTGAGTTCTTGACTTCATGCAGAAAAGATTTCACAACAGGAGTTCAAATATTTTTATTTATTTTTTCCTTTATTGATTAAGGTATTACAAATGTGTCTTTAACCCCCCATTGTCTCCTCACCCCACCAATTTTGCCCTCACCCTCACCCCCTGCTGTCTGCATCCATTGTTTATGCTGATATGCATGCATACATGTCCTTTGGTTGATCTCTCCCCCTAACCCCCATCCTCCCTACATTCCCTCTGAGGTTTGAGGATCTAATCAATTCTTCTCTGTCTCTGAATCTGTTTTTGTTCATGGGTTTATGTTGTTCATTATAATCCACAAATGAGTGAGATCATGTGATATTTATCTTTCTCTGACTGGCTTATTTCACTTAGCATAATGTTCTCCAGCTCCATCTACGCTGTTGCAAATGGTAGGAGTTCCTTCCTTTTTACAGCAGCGTAGTATTCCATTGTGTAGATGCACCAAAGTTTTTTAATCCACTCATCTGCTGATGGGCACTTAGGCTGTTTCCAGATCTTAGCTATGGTGAATTGTGCTGCTATGAACATATAGGTGCATATATCCTTTCTGATTGGTGTTTATAGTTTCATGAGATATATACCTAGAAGTGGGATCATTGGGTCAAATGGGAGTTCCATTTTTAGTTTTTTGAGGAAAATCCATACTGTTCTCCACAGTGGCTGCACCAGTCTGCATTCCCAACAGCAGTGCACAAAGGTTCCTTTTCCTCATCCTCCCCAGCACTTGTCATTATTGATTTGTTGATGATAGCCATTCTGATAGGTGTGAGATGGCACCTGATTGTTGTTTTGATTTGCATCTCTTGGGTGATTAGTGATTTTCAGCATGTTTTCATATGTATTTTGGCATTTCTTATGTCTTCTTTTAAAAAGTATCTATTTAGGTTCGTTGCCCATTTTTTGATTGGGTTATTCTTTCTTTTGTTAAGTTGTATGAGTTCCCTGTAAATGTTGGAGATTAAACCCTTATTGGTGATAACATTGGCAATTATAACAGTGGGCTTTCTGAGCCTAGCCCTTGTTTTCTACATTCCACTAGTTACCAGTCAGCAGGGCCAGGCCTTCTCTGATATCATCCAGCATGTTCACCCTGTGACATAACAGGATTTTCCCTGCACCAAAGTCTCTACACATACATAAAAGCCACATATTCCCAGTATTAATTGCATATGACAGAGGTGAGCAGGTCTCACTTCCCAAATGGACCTTCGACAACACTCCATGCCTCCTCCTCCAGGCTCAGCATGTGCTTCAAAGTGAGTGCTGTTAGATGTGCAGCATCGCAGAGAGAGATGTACGGTGATCTTTTTCCAAGGAGCCAGATGGCTGCTGGCCGAGGCAGTCCACCTTGACTTAGAAGACGAGAGGGTGTTCTTACAGGGGAGGCTCCAGTGCTGTGGCGGATGCTCTGTGCTGCATCCACCAGTCCCTGTGGCCATGGATCAATACTGTACACTCAGACTGTTTTTTAAAGCATATACCCTGTGGGCATGTGCATCCTACCATGTGTAGATTGATGCGTTGATTTTAAAAGTACTGACTCTTTTAGCATAAACACTACAGCTTGTTGAAAAGAAGGATCCCTGAGAGTGACTTGCAGGTTAGAGCTCCCTTTCTGGAGGCCATGGTGAGGAAGTTTGATGACATCTGTAAAAAGGGCAGTGAAGGCAAAGAGTGTGACAACCTGTTCACCATCATTGCCCATTTGTATGACTTCCACCTGGTACAGTTTCTCCTCATATTTGACATTTTGGAAAAATTTACTGGAAGTTTCACAGAGAAAGAAATGGAACTGATCCTATTAATGCTGAGAAATGTGGGCTTTTCGTTGAGAAAAGATGATGTTTTGTTACTAGAAGCGATTACAGAGACCCAGGCTAAAGCCAATGGGGAAGGTGGCAAGTTCCAGGACAAGACCAGGTACAATGGGTCACTTGACCTGCCTCCTAAGTGCCTAAGTTCTCAGAAGCTGACCGGCAAGTAGAAATAAGTGGGGTAAATGCTATGTTTCATTTCCTAGTAATCTTTATCTTCTGCTTCTGTAATTTGATTTTTTTTAATCTTTAAAACTAGAGGCCGGGTGCACAGATTCGGCTCTCCGACATCCTTCGAGGGGTCCGAGATTGGGAGAGGGTGCAGGCCAGGCTGAGGGACCCCACTGGTGCACGATCAGGGCTAGGGAGGGACCATGGGAGGGATCCAGGGTGTGTCTGGCCCATCTTGCCCAATCCCAATCAGCTGAACCCTAGCAGCAAGCTATCCCCTGGTGGTCGAATGGTTGAATGATTGGAGGGACAATTAGCATATCAGGCATATAATATTAGAGGTCCAGAGCAGGGGATTCGGGTACTAGTGGGGGGTGTGGCCTGCAGGGATTGGCCCGCTGTGGAATCGCTGCTCATCTTGGTCAGCACACTGGCGCCCCCACTGTGGGAACACATTGACCACAAGGAGGCAGCTCCTACATTGAGTGTCTGCCCTCTGCTGGTCAGTGTGCGTCATATCCTGAAGGCACCTGAAGGGTTCTGAATGGGAAAATGGCACATGAAGTCTTCTTGCTAATGGTCCCTTTGGCTACAATGTAGAAGATGGAGGTAGTCAGACAGGTATACCCCCCTTCAGGGGTTGGAGATGATGGTGGGAGGATTAGCTCAGTTGCAGTGGGTGTGGGTGTGGGAGTGAAAACTGACCACGCAGGACAGTGATGGCGAACCTATGACATGCGTGTCAAGGTGACACGTGAACTCATTTTTTTGGTTGATTTTTCTTTGTTAAATGGCATTTAAATATATAAAATAAATATCAAAAATATAAATCTTTGTTTTACTAATGTTGCAAATATAAAAACATTTCTATATGTGACACAGCACCAGAGTTAAGTTAGGGTTTTTCAAAATGCTGACACGCCGAGCTCAAAAGGTTCGCCATCACTGATGTAGGGAATGGGTGGGAGGGAAGGCCAGGGGAAGCCCATGTTCTCAGCTTGGGACTTCAGTGGACAGGAGTACATGCAGGAGACCCAGGCTCGAAAGGGAAGATGGGTTCTTTTCTAAAATCCCATAATATTCACTGGGAGAAGTTGTGGTCTGAGCACTCTGAGGAGGTCCTGAGGCTCTGACGTGAGAAGTCTCAGGGTTAGAATCATTGACATTCAGACATTTGAAAGGAAGAGCGGGGTTGAGGGGGTGAAGCACCTTCCGGTGGGTGAATGCATTGTCCTGTGGGAGGACCCTTCTTTCTAGGGGGGACACACATCTTCCTGTGGGGGAAACACACCTTCCTGTGGTGGGAATGCACCTTCCTTGGGAGAACTCTTCTTCCTGTGGGGGAAAAACAACTTCCTATGGGGGAAACGCACCTTCCTGTGGGTAACACACCTTCCTGTGGGGGAATACATCTTCCTGTGGGTGAACCCTTCTTCTTATGGCACAAATGTGCCTTCCAGTGGGGGGTATGCACTTTTCTGTGGCAAAACCCACCTTCCTGTGGGAGAAACATACCTTCCTGTGG